ATTAGTATGCCAAAACACTAATGATCCAGACTATGTTTTGGGAAACACTGATATAAACAAGGGGAAAGAACAGAAAGGTTTTAAGCAGGGAAGTGAATTATGTTTTAGAACCAATCACTTTGGTAAGGATCAGACCGTTCTCTCCTAATTTTTGTCCTTTTAAGAAATGACCCCATAGTCTATTCGTGCGCTCAAGCCAACAAAACAGGAGCCGTATTTGTTGCTGTGGTAACTTTTTAAGAAGTGACAAAATACATGATGGCTTAAAAATAATCGTACCAGCACTGATGATAGTATGAAAAGCAAAAGATCTCCCTCCCCTCTCTGACCTCTACCTCAACAGCCTGGTATATTCTCCAGAGGTACTGAGGAGGGTTACCAGCTTCCATTTCATTTTTCAGTTCTTGTAGCAACTCTAAATCATAGGCATGAGTCTATTGCTTTGGATTATAAACTGTCAGCAGTATCTACTGAAAAGAATTCATTCTCACACTTTTTTTGGCCTCATACCCTCTTATATCGAATCTATCAACAAGTTCTATCCATTCTACCTTCAAAATACATCTCAAGTCTGTCCCCTTCCCTCCAACCTCCCTGTCAGTACCGTCGCTGGCACTCTGCCCTAACTGGTCTGCCTTCTCCCCATCCTTTATTCTTCTTGCCCTTTGTCCTTACTGCACCCATAAAGATCGCCTCAAAACATAAATTAATAGTCCCTGGCTTCAAAGTCTTCAATGGCTTCCCACCAAAATAAAATTCAGAATCTTTATCAAGATCTGTGGGGTTTTACACAATCGATCAGGGTCCTGCCTACTTTTCCACACTCGTGTCCAGCCTCTCAGCAATCTCCTCACCAGACCCCGGCCGCCCGGGCTTCCTCTCTGTCCCCTGAGCATTTCCAGCCTTTCCCTCTCCTTACAGCCTTCCCGTTTGCTGCCTCCTCTGCCCAGACTGCTTTTCCTTCCTTTTCTTTTTTCCCAAGCTAACCCCTATGCTTCTTTCAAATATCAATTTAAATCTTTCATTGTCCAAGAGACCTTCCCAAAGCACCACATCTGAATCCATTCCTATTGTTTTGTTTGGTTTTTAAGATGTATTTGAAAAAGAGAAAGAGAACGCGCACACGAGCTGGGGGGCAGGTGCAGAGGGAGAGGGAGAGAGAGACCCAAGCAGACTCCCCGCTGAGCTGGGAGCCTGATGAGGGACTCCATCCCACAATCCTGAGATCATGACCTGAGCAGAAATCAAGAGTTGGATGCTTAACCGACGGAGCCACCCAGGCGCCCCTTCTGGTTTTTTTTTGTTTTGTTTTGTTTTTTGTTTTTTTCTTAAATAGCACCCTGTTCTTCATTCTACTTCCAACAATTTGTTATTACATGTTTATTTTTTAAATGTCTGTAAGTTCCACAAGATGGGGAACGCATCTGCCTATTTAACACTAAATGTGGAAAAATTGGCAATGTGTCTGGTCACAGAAGGGGCTCAATGATTATTTATTACATGAATGAAGCTAGCCACTGGAAAGTTCTCTGATAGTTTTATCTGCTACCTCTCCCTTACATGAAACCTTAGCTCCATCCAGATTTTCACTTTTTGCACACTAATCACCCAGAAGACTCATTCATTCATCTCTGTCGGGAGCAGAGCTCTAAGGGACGCTTCCTGTATCTCTCCTCTTAAGCTTCACTAGCCATTTCAGTTTATTTTCTTCTTGGGAACTCATTGTACTTATATTCTGTACCATTCATTTGGTGTGTACTCTTATATTGCCTTGTAACGACTCATCCGTTACTGTTAATTAACACCTTATCTTTACAGTTTGTCTTGCCAATGATGTTGTAAGTCTACGGAGTACAGGACCTGGTACTTCATAACCCAAAGTACACAGCATGCCTTTGCAGAGTAGTTGCCTGAAAGAAGTCTCTATCCATCACCTTTAGTGCCCCCATTTTAAGACTTTGATATGGAGACTGGACTCATTTCCTTTCACTGTTTTCTTCCTCAACATTTTGGAGTGTGTTGCCATCATACTGGGAATGAAAGCTGGGATAAAGTAGTTAAGGGAGGAAGAGTGGGGACAGAGAACTTGCCGGAAGTTTTTCAGGTCCGCCTCTAGTGTTAAAGGAGGTGAAGACAACTTGGTGAAGGACCGGGTGGACTCGGTGGATTTTATACTGCTGGTATCTCCTAGAATATTTAAAAGAATGACTTGCTCAAGACTTGGAAAATATGGATTTTTAGAACTTAAATGGAGCAAAAACATTTCAATCATTGACTCAGTTTCTCATTGCTCGATTTTTGGATGAATTAGACCCAAACATCCATTTAATTCAGGAAGTGACTTTGGGATCCGAGAAGTTATGCTGCACTTTACTTGCCAATTCCAATATTGTCCAAATAAGGGTTGTTAAGGAATATTTAAAGTACTGAATACCTTAGCTACTTTTTGTTTTATTTTCTTCCCCATCAAAATATAAGGGTTATTATAAAAGTTCTGCCACCAATCTTCCTCAAGCTACTTCTGAAACCTGGAATATGAAAGTTAAGCCTGTAACAATACTATCTTGTTAGCATAGAACTGTTCAAGGGAAGCAGATCTTTTTACAATTATTATCTCTTTAGCATATCTTCACAACAGGTGAATAGAGGTGAATAGAGTGGTAGACATTGTTATCTTTAATTGGTCCGTAAGGAAACTGAGCATGAAGAAGAGGGGCTTTATGATATAGGTATGAAGCAGCTAACTTTCAGGCTTGTGTTGGAGAATTCACCTAAAATGTAGGATTACTATTACCACAACACTGTTAGTAAGTTCTAGAACAGGATTGTTAACCTGGGGTCAGGGCTGGCTATAGAATTTGCAGGATCTAGTATAAAATGAACATTTGGAGCTCCTTGTTTGAAAATTATTAAGAGAGCTGACAGTGACAGAACATTAAATCAAGTGCAGGGCCCTTCTAAGTTCAGAGCCCCACGTGACTACACAGTTTGCGTTTCCATGAAGCTGGCCCTGCTCAGGGCCTCTGCACGCCTAACATTTGGTTGGGTATCAAGGAGGCTGTGAACTCTGAAACCGTAGGCAGAATTCTTTCTTAATGTGCATATGTTTGTTTTTCATATTCCATAGCCTTTTATCAGATTCTTAAAGTGGTCTGTTAACAAAATAAAGCATGAAGAATGACTCTCCAAGAGTAAAAAATGTCCTCACAGAGCCCACAATATCAGGGACAAGCATGCTGGCGGTCACTGTGCATGATCCTTCTGGAGACTGTGCTTGTGAATGAGTGAGTTTTCATGAATGCACGGGAGTTAATTAAAAAAAAAACACAAAAAACAAAACAAAGAATTCTTAAGACTGCCCAGATGTTGCCAGAAATACACTCAAAATGCATCTTCCGATGATAGGAAAGCAAATGGTGAGATGTTCAAAATGACCAAATTCTTTATAAACCCCAACGTGATACCCAAATATGAGCTCTTTTGTTGATTTTTACCCCCTTAAAGAAAGCTGCTCCCTCTTCTGTAATTAGAAGTCACATTCCCTCCTTCAAATAAAGGAGAAATGCCTCACTGCAAGATTTACCAACTTGTGGTGTAGGAGTCAGGTAGGAATTTGTTAAAAAAAAAAAAGCAGGTGCAGAAAATGCCCTCAGAAATAGAAAAAGAGCCCTCTGAAGACCTGCATCCTGAGAAACACTACAGGCGAAATACTTCAACACCCGAGTCTGGCTGGTAAAATCCCACAGCCATCTCCTGGAAGTTTCACACACAAATATCCCTCAATGTGCCTTGTGCTGAAAAGCCTGCTCTTGCAATGCAAGCGGCTGCCTTAAAATTTTATTTAGTCCCTTTGCCCTTTCAGAATAAATATGCTTGCTTCTCAGCCAAATCTCCAACTCATATAAATGGGGGTAGAGACATGAGTAATTGAAACCAGAGGGTTTTCAAATTTCCTTTCGCTCAGTGTCAAACTTCTCATGATGCACCTCGAACAAGTAGAAAAGTACCATTAACCTGAGTTTCTTGGTCACCCTGCTGTCCCTACTCTGTCCTTGCTCATGGTACAGTGGGGCACTCCGCACGATTCAACCAGCTGCCAAAGCTCTTGCAGATCCATCGAGGACCTGGTTGCTCACACTAGGTAACTCATCCATCCAAGAGTAAGTGTTCATTAATTCCACCCATCCCGCAAGGTGAAAGAGTAGGGGGGCAGGTGAGTAGCAGGTGAGAGTAGCTTTCCTCTGGTTTCTAGGATTAAGCTGGTTATTAATCTTTTTAATTGAATAGAATTGCCCCGCGGGTAATCATCCTCTCCCAAGGTGTGAGCAGCCCTCCCGCTAGCCATCTACTCCAGTTGGAGTCTTACGGTACCTGCTCCCCGGCTCTTTCCACCACGCCCAGGCCACGGGGAGAGGCGGCAAACTTCCGACAGCCGCAGACCCCACCCCAACCACCCCTGCGCTCTTCACCTGGGCATGGCGCCTCCGCGAGGCCGGCGTGGGAGTGGGAGGGTCCAGACGCGCGGCCCGGCGCGGGGCTCAGGGCGAGCGAGCACGAGCCGCGGGGCCGGGAAGCGCGCCGGTCTCTCCCGCGCAGGGAGGGCCGCGGACCCGGCGCCGCTCCACACGTGGCCCGGAATCGCCGTGCTCTCTTTAGGAATAGCACCTGGGGCCAAGGAGGCCGCCGCCAGACGCGGCCAGGCGCCTATCTCTCTCCATCCTGGCTGCCAGGCGCGGCTCCCACGTTAACCCTCTCGGGCCCGGCCTGGCCCGCCGCCGCTGCCACCCCCTGGGCGCTCCACCTCGGCGGGCAATGCGGGCGCCCAAAGCGCCGGCCGACGGCCGGGGGCGCCCGCAGGGGCAGAGCCTCCCAAGACGCTTCCCTCCTGCCTCCTGGCCGCACGCCCACCCTCCCTCGGGGGCCCGCCCCTCCCGCCCCCAGCCCCGCGTGGCCTCCGAGGCGTGGGCTCGGTGAGCGCTGGGCTGCGGCCCCTAGAATACCTGCTCCTCCGACGCGGGTGGGGTTCAACCAGTGATCCTGTGAATCCCGGTCCTTCCCCGAGGCTCCGGCAAGTACTCCAGCCGCGGGGAAAGCGCTCTCGGCTTTCGGCTCCCAAACGTGACACTCTATATATCCGGCTCCGAGACTGGGTGTGGGGCTGGAGGAAACCACCCTCCCTCCGACCTTCCCGGTTGCCGCTGCGGCCTCGGCGTGGGGCGTAGTGGCGGCGGCGGCCTCAGCCCGCGGCGGGAGGAGGGCGCGGGGCTGGCGAAGGCCCTTACAGGCCGCGGGGCGACGGCACGGTGCGCGCAGGCCCGCCCCGCGGCTTCCATTCATTCAGCACCCAGCACAGACGCTTGCTATTACTCCCGGGCTTTTTTTTTTTTCCCTTTTTCTCCCCATTTTTTTTTTTTTTAATCGGTGGGTGAGGGGAAAGGGAGCTAGAAAGGCGCCCCTCTCTGGTCTGAAAAAGAAATGCTCCCACACCTTGAGACAGAAAGAGAGGAGGAGGGAAGTAGGGGTTGGGGGGGGAAGAGAGAGACAGAAAGTCTAAGGTTCTGGTCTGAATGCTTGGAGGACACATCTTTTCCCTACCCACCCTAGTAGAAAATACAGCCTCAAAATCCGAGTTCACTGAGAGTGTGGGTAACACACACTCGGTGGGAGGGATGCTCTTGTATCTGCTCCACTCTGCGGAGGAGCCCTGCAATGACAGACGAGCGCAGCGTCCTTCTAAAAATTCACGGGGGTGGAGGCACGCTCTACTCATACCCAGGGTTTGGAGGGCAGACTTGAGGCGCTCTCTGCGTCGGCTGCGGGTGGGAGTGGGCAGGTGGAGAGGAGACTAGAAAGGACCCGGGATGCGCGCTGCTGTTTCTGCAGCTTTGCTCAGAAGCGCTTCAACAGCTTAAAAGGAAAAGAAAAAAAAAAAGACGTTTTGCTTCTTAGCCTGGTAGCTTTTTTGCAGATTTGGTTCGGTCACTGTTAATATTTAAACGGAAAAACTGGATCCGTTGTCAGGGAAGACTTCTAGAGGGACGGACAGGCAGGGGAGTGGAGCCGTCCTAGGCTTCAGCACCAAAGTGCTGAATGCAGGCCAACGCCCAAGCTAATTCCTAGAACAAGGTGGAAGATAAATTCCCAAATAAATGTGGTGTGTTAAGATAAAACAAAATGAATATTGCCCTAGAAGCTGTCTTCACTGTCCTCATTACAACAGTCGACATACAAATAAATGAAATTTAATTCATGAAGGATGGAATTAATGAAATGAGCATTTTTTTTTTTGCATTAAAAAGAATTCATATCCATCTTGAAATCTCTTCTACGGGGCTCTCTTTGATTAAATGTGGCAAGCAAAGCGTAGCCTAAAGACAATGTGGCTAATTTCCTCTGGTGGCTGACCGAAAGCAAGAGAAAGAAAAAGTTAGGACCAAGTAAATATACTTTTTGTTACCCCTTCCCCCACTGGAAAATAAATCCGAATGTATTCTCAAAACGTGTATGACAGTACTTGAAATGATAAATATACTTTTTGTTACCCCTTCCCCCCACTGGAGAAGAAATCAAAACGTATTCCCAAAACGTGTATGACAGTACTTGAAATGATACTGTCAAATGTTGGTGAGAATATGTTGAAATCCCTCATCACACAGCAGATAGAAGGTTAAATTGTTACAACTCTGGAAAGCAATCTAGCAACACATTTCCAAGACATAAAAAGTTCAGTCACTCAAAATTTTTTTTATTGTTCTGAACCTTTTGATAAAGGATTCCCAATTCTTAGAATATATCCAAAGGAAATAATCCACAAAAAGGGAAATGCCATATGGACAAAGTTACAGGTTTATTATAGCATCGTTTATAAGGTAGAAAATAAACATACTTTCAGTGGAATGTTGGCAACTAAAATGCAACATTATTATAGATTACAACATTGTAAAATGATTATCACCACTTAAAATGACATTTATGTATGGATAATGTATTGGTCTGCTAGTGCTGCCATATTGAAGTACACAGACTGGTTTAAACAACAGAAATTTATTGTCTCACAATTCTGGAGGCTAGAAGTCCAAGAGCAAGTGTCTTCCCTCTGTGAGCTGTGAGAAGAATATTTCAGTCCTCCCACCTAGCTTCTGGTGGCAGGCTGGTAATTTTTGGCTTTTCTTGGCTTGTAGAAATACAGTCTTTGCCTTCATGTCCACATGGTGTTATCCCTGATGTCCAAATTTCCCCTTTTTATAACAGCACCAGTCATCCTGGATTAGGGCTTATCCTAATCTCATCTGAATTTAATTTATTACATATGCAACAACCTATTTCCAAATAAGGTCACATTCTGAGTTACTGAGGGTCAGGACTTCAGTGTACAATAGGGGAGGTGGGGGGAGAAGGGCACATTTCAACCCTAAACAGGTAAAAACAAAAAGAGGCAATGTAGTGGGTTGAATGGTGACTCCTAAAAGCTCCCTGGAGCTCATGAATGTTACCTTATTTGGATGAAAGGGTTTCTGAATATGTAACAAAGTTAAAAAAGATCTTGAGAGCAATTAATCCTGGATTATCCAGGTGTGTGCTAAACCCAACGTTAAGTGCCTTTATAAAAGAAAGGCAAAGGAGGATTTGTTGGAAAAAGTGATGTGGAGACAAGGCTGAGATTGGAGTGATGAGGCAAACAAACAACAATAACAACAACAACAACAACAACAAAACCAAGGAAACCAAGGAATGATGACAGCCCCCAGAAGCCGAAAGACAGAAGGAAGGATTCCTCCCTCCGGCCTCCGCAGGGAGCATGGCCTTGCACCTTGATTTCAGATTTCTAGCTTCAGAATTGTGAGAGAATTAATTCTTGTGGTTCAAGCCACCCAGTAATTGATTACAGCAGCCCGAGGAAATGAGTATGAACAATTTGTGCTGCAATTCCACATACTTACTTTTTTGTTTTTTCACAAAAGAGACAATATGGATCAAGACCTTTTCAAGTGGGTATTTTAATAGAGTTATCTTAAAATTCTCGTTCACTTTTGAAGGGATAGGCAGGGGACATGCTAAAGATTTCATCATCTTGCAAAATAAACTCTCCAATAGGCTTAAGTGCAGCTAAGATGACAAAGGGTTCTGATTTTGTGCAATGTGTCCTGTTGTTCTGGATCCTCACACACCGTACACATACAACTCCTGCTAATACACATTCAGTTCTATGCTGGTCTGATTAGAGGGCAGTCTTCAGGGTTTTATCTCAAAACCATCGTTGTTCATGGTCGATGTTGAGAAATAGGCTATTACAACTAACCTCTACTTTCAAAGTCTTTTCTCCCTCACTATTGCTCAGTGACTTAACCATTTTATTCAACCCCATAAAATAAATGTTTCTTTATAAATCTGCCTGGAAGTTTTTATTTAATATGCAAAATACTTACAAAATGTGCCAGACCCAAAGTAATACGTCAAATCATTCTAATGACGCTGTCAAGTGGGAGGTTGTGAATAAAGCCAGTCTTCCAAAAGAATGCTATCTCTTTAAACACAAACTGTTTCTGTTGACTGATAACATCAAGGAAACAGAGGTTTGATTTTCATCTACAGTAGAATCATAAAAATATAGTGTTCTAGAACTAGAAAGCTAGTCCTCGAGGCCCACTCTCTTACTTTAGCATGGTCAAGTCTGGATTTCATGTGTTGTCTATGGTCACTGTATTAGTTACCTGTTGCTTCATAGCCAATTATCATCAACTTTGTGCTTTAAAACAATACCCATTTACTATGTTGAGGTTTTGTAGGTTGGTCATCCAGACATGAAGTAATTGGGTTCTTTGCTCAGGGTTTCACAATGCTGAGAATCCCATGTCAGTGTGGGCTCTGATCTCTGGTCTGTGGCTTGGGGTCTTCTTCCAAGCTCCTCATTGTTTGTTGGCAGGATTTATTTCCTTGCAGCTACAGGTCTGAGGGCCCCATGTTTTTACTGGTTGTTGGCCAGGGTTTGCTTCCAGCCCTTAGAGGCCGTCTTCTAGTCCTAACCATGTACACTCTCATAGCACTTTTGTTTGCTTCTTTAAGGCTAGAAGAAGAAAATATTTCTCTCTTCAAATCTGACCCTTTTAAAAGCTACAGTTATGTGAGGCCCACCTGGGATAGCCTCCCTTTGAATTAACTCAAAATCAGCTGACTTGGGGCCTTCACTTTCATCATACACTGTAGTCCCAGGAGTGAAACCCATGATAGACACAGTCTCACCGGTTTAAGGGCATGGGGCTATACACAGCATATAAACTAGAGGATGTGATTTTGGAGGCCCTCTCAGAATCCTGCCAATCTCACTTAGATGGTAGGTGGCAGTGTCAGCCCTAGCAGAATACTGTTTCCTACTCTACTGGGGAGTTTCTTCAGCATAAGGAAAATTGTTTTTCATTATCTGGCCCCTTTATGAAGTGGCTAGATATGGGTCTTACCAATTTTTTTCTTATCTTCTTTTTCCTATGTAGATATATAAGTCTTTAAAAATATGTAACACCTTTATTGACAATTGTAAATGTAATAGGTAAGGACTAGTATTTCCTGATTCCTAGTGTACTCTGAGCTGATGGTTTCTTAAACCTTGGGTCATAAACATCAAGAGTCTTTCAAGAATGCTCTTGAGAATCCTGTTATGAGAATGCAAAAGGGTTACAGCTGAATAATTAAAGCCATATTCTATTGACTATTACACAGACATTAAAAAGAATAAATTAAAGCTATGCCAGTTGAATTGCACTAATTTCCAAGACATTAGATTTGTGACGAAGGTAACATGCTGAAAAACATGTGTGATATGATCACGTTTCTATTAAACCAATATCAAATAACTTTGAATATGTACTTGTGTACATAGATATATAGGTCTATAAAAGCATGGAGAAAAACATGGAAGGAAACATATGAGGTTATTAACATGTTACTGTGGTTTTAAAAAAGAGGCACTAACACTTGTGGAGGAAGTTAGAGGGAGGTACACAAGGCAAAGAGGAAAAAAGAGAAAGACTAAAATGTAAATTAAGGTATCATATGATCACACTCATGCATTTACTTAAACATATTTTTCAAATTTTTTAATTAAAAAAGAATGCTCTGAGTTGCCATTCCATCCTGACAAGTCAAAAGCTGAACAAACTGAAAAGTAAACAACCCTTCTTAGATTTGTCAGAAAAGTGAAATCACAGGGCA